CTATAGTTGTTATGCGCAGCCCCAAAATTAGTATTCAGGAACAAGTGCTCTCAGAGTATCCTTGCCTGTCGCTGCCGTTTACACGCAACACCGGTGCTTGCTCATAGGGGTCGTGGTCTTGCGGCAACCACGAGATAATCATCCCCGGACTGCTGAGGGTTTGTTTCCTTTGCCCTTTGATTTTGCCACCATCAAGTCTAAATGCGCTCCCCACTGCAAGGCCCTGCTTATGCACACAGGGCACAGGTGGTTCATTCCAGTCGAGCTTCTGTGCTAGAGGAAGCACCTAGGGCGATGCTCTCATCGACGGTTTTACGGCCTTGGCGATGTTTGAACATGTTGGTTTGCAACCTGGTGAGGCATTGTGGCGCAAGCAAACGACAACACAGATCAAAGATGCTTCTTCCGTCCCTGCTTTCAAAGACGGTCACTGTGTTTTTTGAGCACAACGCTTGGCGACCATCCTGTCCATGGGCTGAAGCCTATCAGTTGACACTGTGGGTCATGCAGTGCCGGTTTAGAAATTGGGAGGTCTTGTCCGGGAATCCTGTCACTTGTTCAGCTTGGTGTGAAAGCGGTTGCCAGCACAGGCATCCACGCAGACTGGTGATGGCCTTGAGGATGAAATTGACGTTCATCCAAGTGGAGGAGCCGGGCGAAATGCACAGTCTGTTCGGTTCTGAGGAGTCTGGAGTTCAAGATCAACTGCCCGGCAGCACTAAAAGCAATCGGAGCATTGCGGCTGGTAGAACTGCCCCATATGACACAACCTCAGAATATGCAAAAAACGACTCGCTGAACAAGCACCCCAGACACCATTGTGCATTTTCTCTCTTTGCCTCTTGGGATGGAAGAATTGTGATTCGATCTAGTTGCTGTTCTGCCCGATGGACTGGTGTGAAGGCCTTGTCGTACTTTCGTTCGTTTGCACGGCATATACCCAAATAAGAAGCTTGTATGTCATGCAGATTTGCACAACAGTCAAACCATCACTGGGCCTCCGAGATCGTGCAGAGAAACCTATGCAACCTCACAGAACAGTATAGAACTCTATAAACGGCGTTAAGCCCTAGCTCCTTTCATGATTGCATCTCCGACGAACGCACTGCTGCCACACGTCATGCTTTCGCAAACACCAATAAACCCAAAGGCTCTCCTAGGGTTTCATGAGGCCTTTGATTTCGCTCACACCTCACAACCATAAGCCCGCGCTGCGGAACCCTAAATCCCAAAAACCCAATGCAAGCCTCCCGTTCAGGCTAAACCCTAAACCCTACACCGAAACCACTGAACGCCTGATCCCTGAAACCCAGGATGCCAAACTTAGGGTCTGAACCACATGGTTGAAAAAGGGTTCAGGGTTCAGGGAATAGGATGGAGAGTTTATGGCTCTGAGATGGATCTTTCAGAACACGGACTTCGAGGCGCGCCATACACCCTGAAGCCTTCAATACCTCACCTCAGCCACCCAAACGTTAGTCTTAGGGAATAGACCAAAACAGGCCATATTCAAAAGCACCAAAAACGCAGGTGTTGATGCAGGCTAAAGCCACCTTAAATCCTGAACACCTATAACCCTAAACCTAACCTATGCCGAAACCCTAGATCCCTATAGCTCTAAACCCTGAACCCTTGACCGCAAGAGGAGCAGCGCCTGCATTCTCTTCGGTCGAAAAGCCTTCCGCCCAAATTTCAGGCGCAAGTTTTAGAGGGTTCAGGATTGAGGGTTCAGGGTTGGTGGTTTGCGGTTTAGGGAAGGGTGTCATTGATCAGGTCGTGTGGGGAGATGTTGAAATTGGCTTTCGGAGCTTCTTTTTGGGCGTTCGCTGCTTCAGTCCCGAACCCGAAATCTCAAGCCCAGGGTTTAGTTTAGGGCTTAGGGTGAAATCACGAGATACAGAAGTCCTGAACAAGGCTTGCTCGGGGTCAGCAGAACTTAAAGCATAAACCGCAAACTTTCACTTGGAGACTTTATGCCAGAATGCCGGCCTGGCATTATCAAAGGCAATCAAATCTCTTAACATTTTTCAGGTCTCTGAAGTTCGGAGTACGAAGGTTCAAGGGCGAAGTGCTACGGAATCAATGTGTAAGGGTGCAGCGTTTAAAGTTGGAGTCTCAGGCATCACGTCATTTAAGCCTGAATCGTTTTAGGGTTCTTTACACCCACAACCCTATTCTACTTATCAAGGCCCCTACATCACTCCTGAACATGTGTTACTCCTTTCGTCCGTAGGGGCCATCTCGCTCCGGGATTCGAGTCAGCTCGGTTCGAAGCCGAACTTGCTGCCAATGCATGATACGCCGTGACGGACTCGACAATTCAAACACCTAACACATTACTGTATGCGTTTACATATAACTGCGTGTATATACATATATAGATGTGTGTTTACATATCTGTACATATATGCTTATCTACATATATACATATATGAGCCCGATACCTTTAGGGTCTATTTAGCTAGCTTTCTTTATATACAATATCAAACGCCTAGCTAAATGATATCTAGCCATATCGTGAATTCTACAAACCGATACCCGGAAAGTTTCACCCTGATTCGGACATATAACTTAATGCAGAGTTTGTCAATTGTAATGACATTGTTGTACAGCTGTTTAAATTTGATATAGGTCGTCATTGTGTTACTCCTACTACTACTACTACTACTACTACTACTACTATACTACTACTACTACTACTACTACTACTACTACTACTACTACTACTACTACTACTACTACTACTACTACTACTACTACTACTAGGTATTCACCAAGAACCCCAGGAGACACGTGTTAGAATCCAGAAAACCAATAATCCTACACCTTATGTATTGACTGTGTTCCTGTTGGTAAGATTCCTTTTAAACACAATCTATAATCGGTAAAACTTCGATAATCCTAGTAGGCCGATGTCACTGCTAATTATACCGCCTGTGGCTTCTGTATTACTATTCCGAGCAAAGTAAGAGAACAACCCTTACAAACACTCATAATCATGTTAAGTATTGCCTGTAGCCCTGTGTTTAATCATAATAAACCCGGCTTGCAACTATAAAAGCAACAATAATCATGCTAAGTATTGCCTATAACCCTGTTGCTACTATTGCCATGAAACCTTGCCTAGAACCCCTGAAAGTAAAATAATAAGACTAGGTATCACCTATAACCTGGGCACACATAGGGGAGGCAGAGGGCTAAGCGCAGGCCCTGCCCAGGGGCGCGGGGGTGGGGGTGGGGTTGAGGCGGGTGTGGGGGGGGTTGAGGGTGCTGGGGCTGAGGCTCTCAAGGCTGAAGGGGATTTCAGCTGCAATTTGGGTTTAGGGAAGATACTGGAAATGAACCTTTAGAACTCAAGGTCATATGTTTGTTACAAGCCTTTGCAGGTTGTGAAATGACATGTCCGCAATGCCTAACATGGTTGTTTCGAGTTGTGAGCACACAAGGTATGTAGACACTACTTAACATGATTATTTCTGTTTCTACGTGCGAAAAGCATGCAGGTAAGAACGCATGTAGGCGCGAACAGCATGCAGGCAATACTTAACATCATTATTTCGGGCTGTGAGTAGCAAAGGCAATAGGCAATACTTCACATGTGTATTGCGGGTTCTAAGTGCGAAAGGTATGTAAGCAGTATTTAACATGTTTAGTTTGGGTTGTACATAATTAAGAGAGCAATATAGGCAATAATGTTGGAGTGGTTTTAATAAACCCCCCCCCCCCCCCCCCCCCTGAGGTTGTTTTGCGCGGAGGTCTCTTGGGGCAGGGTCTGGGGTCAGGGTGGCAATAGTAAACCTCTGGCCTGCTCCGGGCCTAGTATACTAGTAGTAATAGTAATTAGTAATAATAGTAGTAATAGTAGTAATAGTAGTAATAGTAGTAATAGTAGTAATAGTAGTAATAGTAGTAATAGTAGTAATAGTAGTAATAGTAGTAATAATAGTAATTAGTACGTGAAGTCTCAACCTCTGGCATTTGCAGCACTCTGGCTTCTGTGCCCTCGGCCTTTCTGCTTTCCTTCTGAACTCCCTCTGACGCCACTGGACTGAAGCAAGGAGTCTGGCCTAGCTGGCGAGGGTTTGTTTCTGTTTAACTAGCCAATGAATATCTGAGGCCATGGCAGCCTCTGATGCGGACATGACTCTGGCTGGGGAGTCTTGTCTGTGTCTTTTTGTTTTTGGGTTTGGGTTTCTGCGAGAAAGGGTCTGGGTTTTGGTGTCTGGGTGTGACTTCTGCTCTTTTATTTATCTGAGGAACCATCTGCACCCCTGGACAACACTGGCGAGCCTTGGCGATAATCTGCGAGAAGGGGTCTGGGGTTTGGGGTTCTGGGTGCGACTTCTGCTCTTATCTGAGGCACCCTCTGGACCCCTGGACAACACTGGCGAGACTTGGCGATAATCTGCTAGAAAGGGTCTGGGGTTTGGGGTTCTGGGTGGGCCTCTGCTCTTATCTGAGGCACCATCTGGACCCCTGGGCAACCCTGGCGAGCCTTGGCGATAATCTGCGAGAAAGGGTCTGGGTTTGGGGTTCTGGGTGTGCTTCTGCTCTTATCTGAGGCACCCTCTGGACCAGCCAACCCTGGCGAGACTTGGCGATAATCTGCGACAAAGGGTCTGTGTTTGGGGTTCTGGGTGTGACTTCTGCTCTTATCTGAGGCACCCTCTGGACCCCTGGGCAACCCTGGCGAGCCTTGGCGATAATCTGCGAGAAAGGGTCTGGGGTTTGGGGTTCTGGGTGTGCCTCTGCTCTTATCTGAGGCACCATCTGGACCCCTGGGCAACCCTGGCGAGCCTTGGCGATAATCTGCGAGAAAGGGTCTGGGTTTGGGGTTCTGGGTGTGCTTCTGCTCTTATCTGAGGCACCGTCTGGAGGGCTCACTGCCGATGATCTGATGGAGACTCTGAAGGCCCTAAAATGACCGTGCACGCTCGTTTGTGTGTGTGTCTGCATGTGTCTAATGATGAATCTGCCCTGCAGACGCTGGACCGGCAGAGGGGCCCTCTGTCCTTGCTCTGCACAGACCGCGTCCTGGCTCTGCAGACGGAGCTGCTTCGCTACGACGTCTGGCAAGATGGGCGTGGATGGCTGCACTCTGCCAATGCGAGCCGCAGGTCTGTGTTGAGCTCTCGCGTCAGAGGCGAACTGGAGAGATATCTGGCTGCCTCTGGCTCGCTGAAGCTCTGGGGCCACATCTGCTACCTGTCCGTTCTGGTGACACTGAACGAGGTGCATCTGTCATCAATTAACCATAGCTGTTCTGGAACAACCCATTCTGGACAGGTTCTGTACAGGATTGTCTGTGATGAGATCACGGACGATGATGTGGCCCGTGTGAACGGGAATGTGGCCTTTGTCTGGGACTCGCAGCTCGGCTAATTAGTTCTGCAGTCTTCATCTGCCGGCATTCCGCTTTGATCTGAGTCTGGACACCTTCATGGCCAAGAAGGTGGATCTGGCGAAGGTTTCTGAGGACTGTGGGGATTGGGCTGTCTGGTTCCAGAGCTGCTACTTAGTTGCACCCAGGCCTTTGTTTTTTGTGTCTGGGGGGGGCGGGTGGCTTGCATCTGCATACCGAGATCTGTCGGACTGCAAGAACCACCAGCTGTATGTCCGTGATCTGGCATTCTTCTATGCCAGCCAGGGCTCTGGTGGAGCCGCATCTGGGCCCAACTCTGGACAGATCTGGGAGAAGATCTGCAAGAAGGCCTTCCCATCCTGTGCTTAATTAATTAAACCCTGAGCCCCTAACCCTGAAACCCCAAACCCTGAAACCCTGGAGCCCTAAACCCTTGCAGGTCTACTTCCCGTCTGACTACATGCGCCCGTTGCTTGGCCTAGAAGGGTTTAGGTTTTGGGTCTGGGGTTTAGGGGTTAATGAGGGGTTTGGGCCTCTGCTTTGGGATTCCTACCTAGGCTCTGGCCGAATCTGGTGCCCAGCTCTGGACTTCGCATGCCAGGTGCCTGAAGGTGGGGTTTGGGGTTGGGGTTGGGGGTTTTTATTTTCGGGCTTGTGCTCCTGCTGGCAGGAGCTTCTGATGCAGCAGATTCTGTGGCTTTGGCTGGTGTATCCGGTCATCTGGCCGAGGCCAGATCTGAATCGCTCTCTGGTGCACACCAACCCCAGTCTAATTAGGGTTCTGGAAGCCCAGGATCTGCTGCAGATCTGGAAGGATCTGTACAAGGAGGGGTGGATCTATCTGTACAAGGAGGGGTTAGGGTTTGGGGTTCAGGGTTTCAGGGTTTGGGATTTAGGGTTCAGGGTTTGGGGTTAATGAAGGGTTTCAGAGTCTGGGGTTAAGGGTTTCAGAGTCTGGGGTTAAAGGTTTCAGGGTTTGGGGTTAAGGGTTTCAGAGTTTGGGGTTTAGGGTTCAGGGTTTGGGGTTAAGGGTTTCAGAGTTTGGGGTTAAGGGTTTCAGGGTTTGGGGTTAAGGGTTTCAGAGTCTGGGGTTAAGGGTTTCAGAGTCTGAGGTTAAGGGTTTCAGGGTTTGGGGTTAAGGGTTTCAGAGTTTGGGGTTTAGGGTTCAGGGTTTGGGGTTAAGGGTTTCAGAGTTTGGGGTTAAGGGTTTCAGGGTTTGGGGTTAAGGGTTTCAGAGTTTGGGGTTAAGGGTTTCAGAGTCTGAGGTTAAAGGTTTCAGGGTTTGGGGTTAAGGGTTTCAGAGTTTGGGGTTTAGGGTTCAGGGTTTGGGGTTAAGGGTTTCAGAGTTTGGGGTTTAGGGTTTCAGGGTTTGGGGTTAAGGTTTTCAGTGTTTGGGGTTACGGGTTTCAGAGTTTGGGGTTTTGTGTAATTAGGGTTTCAGGGTTTGGGGTTAAGGGTTTCAGGGTTTGGGTTTAAGGGCTTGGAGTTATATAATTATTTGAGGGCTTGGGGTGAAGGGTTTAACTAAATAATATAGCAATATTTATTAATAATTAGTATTAATAACTCTAAGAATAACAACGAGAATAAGGATAATAAGAACAATAAATCAATAATTATGTAATAAGTAATTAATTAATAAAGCTAGCAACAACAATAAGGATAGCAACAACAATAAGAAATAAAAGCCTAATTATACATAATTAGTACTTAGAAGCCACCACCACCACCACCACCGCCACCACCACCGCCACCACCACCACCACCACTAATTAATTAATTAGACCCATCAGCAACAGCAGCAACAGCAGCAGCAGCAGCAGCAGCAGCAGCAGCAGCACCATTTCCAGCAGCACCAGCAGCACCGCCGCCGCCACCACCAGCACCACCGCCGCAACCACCACCAGCACCACCAGCGCAACCAACACCACCACTAGCACTAATTACAAACACGATAACAATTAATTAATTAGTTAGATAATTGGCTCTGGGCAGGAGCCGATCTGAGCAGACGTGCGGAGACGTCTGGTGCCAGAGCTCTGGAGCTTTCTGGTTACCCACCACCCCGAACAACCCACTAAACCCTAAACCCTAAACCCTTAATTAAGCCCCTTAATTAAGCCCTCAACCTTAAAACTTAAACCTCCAACTTAGGTTTTGGGTTTTTATGACTTAGGGATGAACAACTGTTTTAATTCATAAGGGTTTCTATATCTAATTAGGTAATTAAGGGTTCTGGTTTTTCGTACAAAGCTCTGGAAGCTCTGGTCGCAGGCTCTGTGTTTTTTTGCAGACGAGAGGAACCTCTGTCGCAGAGGAAGGAAAATCTGGACGCACTGTGTCTGTCTTGGTTTCTCTCTTTCTAGAAGCAGCCGCTGTCTGATTGCAACATGTAAGTACTTGAGTAACTTCTGCTCAAGCTCTCTGGTCGCTTCTCTTCGGCAAGATGGGCAAGTCTGGGGTGCTCAAGAAGCCGTCTGCCTCCGCTGTGGTCAAGAAGCCGTCTCTGAAGCAAGACCCCAACGACGATCTGGCACCTGCCGTGCCTGAGCCGCTGCAGCGACTGAAAGCTATGTCTGAAGCCTCTGAGGAGACTGTGCCTCCGTCCGAGGAGGCATCTCTGTATGCACCGGATTGTTTCCTGCATCTCTGGGATACTCTGAGTTCTGAACAGAAGGAGTATCTTCGCAAAGCCTCTGAGGTTTTGAAGGCTCTGAAGTGAGCCGCAGAACAGATCTCGCAGGAGTTTTTGAAAAAGAGTCTGACCTCGCATTGCACACGTTCTGGAAGTGTTGTTGCTCTGCAAGCACCGGTTGCAGCCGAGCTTCTTGTTCTCTCTGATTCCCGATTGGATCGAGCTCTGTGTCAGTTCTGTAGGTCCTGTGAACACTGACATGGTGTCCTCTGCGGTGGTCTCTGCCTACGTGGCGGTCTGTGCTCTGGGCAAAGCCTTTCTGCGAAAGCAGCCGGAGATTCTGACCTTGCTTGGTCTGTTCCTCGGCCTGGATCGAGCGGATCTGTTCTTCTGCTTGGCATCTGGTGAGCAGATCAGCCTCATCTGGAACGGTGCCATCAGTCTGCGCTGGACTCTGAATGGCTGGCTGGTGAGGCGACGGGATCTGTCTGTTGGAGATCATCTCTGGCTTTGCTGGAAGAACCCTCCACAAGGACACGCTCTGACTGAGCGAGATCTGGGGGATCTAGGGTTCTCTGAGGAGGAAACCTCTGATCCCAACGGCGAATCTGCTGCCGAAGCCTCTGGCGAAGGTGCCGAGGTCTGGGAGATTCTGAATCTGTCGCCTGCTCCCAGGTCTTCCCGAGATCTGGAGTGATGATCTGCTTCGCAGTGAAGAGTGAAAACATTCCGAGCATCTGTTCTGCAAGGTTCTGCTTTGCCTGCATTGTCTGAGAAGAGCCTAGGAAGAAGCTTTCTGATTGTCCATGCATCTGCAGGCATGCCATTTTGGCTTCGCTAGTAGATCTGCCCAGCAATGTCTGTGGCGATCTCCTCTGATGAGGAAGATGGCGGCGGTGGTGTGGCCGCTTCTTCTGCTGCTCTGGTGTCCAGCGAGGACGTGTCTGAGCAGCTTGTGGCAGCTTCTGAAGGAAGCTTGTCGGAGCAAGCTCTGGCGACTGCAGAGAGTTCTACCTCACAGCCTTCTTCAGGCGAGCTGCTTCTGTCATTCCATGTTGCTTCTGGCAAAGACTGATTATTTAATTCGTTCTGAAGTTTAGCTGCTGCAGTTCCTGGAATCCGGAGTCCCTGGCTTCTTGCCAAAGCCAGCAGCTCTCGAATACCAAAGCCTCTGGCTTCTTGTCCAAAGCCACTGGCTTCATAGCTTTCCCAAAAGCAAGGCTTGACATCGGGAGCCCCTCCCCCGGATGAGTTTATTATTGCCACCCCTTTTATAATTGCCAAAAGAAGGGCTGCAAAGGGTTACCCTTGCCGGCTTTGTGAAATGGCTCCGTTTATATAGAATTGGAATAAGGAACCGACCTCAAGTTTAGCTGCTGCAGTTCCTGGAATCCGGAGTCCCTGGCTTCTTGCCAAAGCCTGCAGCTCTCGAATACCAAAGCCTCTGGCTTCTTGTCCAAAGCCACTGGCTTCATAGCTTTCCCAAAAGCAAGGCTTCCCATCGGGAGCCCCTCCCCCGGAGGAGTTTATTATTGCCACCCCGTTTATAATTGCCAGAAGAAGGGCTGCAAAGGGTTACCCTTGCCGGCTTTGTGAAATGGCTCCGTTTATATAGAATTGGAATAAGGAACCGGCCTGAAGTTTAGCTGCTGCAGTTCCTGGAATCCGGAATCCCTGGCTTCTTGCCAAAGCTTGCAGCTCTCGAATACCAAAGTTTGTGGCTTCTTGTCCAAAGCCACTGGCTTCATAGCTTTCCCAAAAGCAAGGCTTCCCATCGGGAGCCCGTCCCCCAGAGAAGTTTATTATTGCCACCTCTTTTATAATTGCCAAAAGAAGGGCTGCAAAGGGTTACCCTTGCCGGCTTTGTGAAATGGCTCCGTTTATATAGAATTGGAATAAGGAACCGGCCTGAAGTTTAGCTGCTGCAGTTCCTGGAATCCGGAGTCCGTGGCTTCTTGCCAAAGCTTGCAGCTCTCGAATACCAAAGCCTGTGGCTTTTTGTCCAAAGCCACTGGCTTCATAGCTTTCCCAAAAGCAGGGCTTCCCATCGGGAACCCCTCCCCCGGACCTTTTATAATTTTCAAAAGAAGGGCTGCAAAGGGTTACCCTTGTCGGCTTTGTGAAATGGCTCCGTTTATATAGAATTGGAATAAGGAACCGGCCTGAAGTTTAGCTGCTGCAGTTCCTGGAATCCGGAATCCCTGGCTTCTTGCCAAAGCCTGCAGCTCTCGAATACCACAGCCTCTGTCTTTTTACTAGCATCAAGTCTTTGCCAGTTGACATAATTATAGATATTTCCTGATCTGTTTTCATGCAAGTAACAAGCGGTCTTGTTTCTTTAGTCAACCGCAGCAGGTTCTGGAAAGCAGAAG